CTCGTGGTACACAGGTGTATTTTGTTGACCCCCTTCCTCCCTAGTCCGCTTGTGCAATACCCTCCTGGCGTTACTTTCGTATCCATCTTATTATTTACAGAGTATTTCCCGTTTTCAGTAGTATCGTGATTGAAAGAAAAGTGAAGAGCAACTGATTTATGCACGAATCTTGGTGTATAGGTTTATTTTTTTCTTCTCATCTCAATCCTTATTTTCAACATTAAGTTCCATGTTATGAACCGTGGAAGCCGCCTTTGTCCGAAGTGTAACTATGCAACGTGGAAATTCATGGTGGTGCAATACAATAGTACGTGCTATACCGAATAAGTGTATGCAATCAAAAACATCTTCTGAGCAGATTATAATTCCAAACCTGTATTTCAACTCGACCCTAATGAACAAAATTATAGACTAAAATTACATCTGCGATTATTTCAAATGTATCAGCGTTTAAAATTAAGCAAAACCTTGATGTATATTCATTTAACGTATCCATAGTTCATGCGTTGAACTTATATTTTCCTTCCTCGCTTGTTTTCAGTCAATTATCCTTGGAATGTCTCCTAAAATCTGAATAAAAGCAGTGCATAAAAAGAACCTTATGAAATATTAGGGCAATTAAATTCTGAGTGGAAATTGTTTTTTCGGTTTTGCATGCAGTGGTGTACAGTAAGCATATAAACTGCAAAAGAATCGAATGAAAGCAGCCGGAATATATAGATCAGATTACCAAACGTATGTGGTCTTGAATAGGCAAGTAAACCTACCCAGATTGTGACCTTCGCAAAGTAGTTGCAAGAATCGGAAAATTTTGCACGTGAAGTCGGCATCGTACAGATTGGTAATACCTTTCATATCAGATAGACCAACTGCGAGACCTTCAGCTTTGTTGCATCTGAAAGGAAATAAAGGATTTAGACTATGACGCTACTAATTATCTGTAAAAATACATACAAAGACTATTCGGTTTATTCTACCGCAAAGTGGATGACGAAAAGTAATTTTCAATTCACATTGTGAGTGGAGTATAAAATTAGATAATCTTGTTCAAAGTATTTGGATCTATCTGGCACATAGTGCGACTCAGAATATCGCATTTTTATTTGGTACATAGTCCCGACTTGATATAGGTATACAACTACATAGTATTTTGTCACATAATAATGATGAACGGTGGTATTGTGACCAAAGAAATGGTCATGATCTGGTAAGTTTGTCTTTTCTGGCCGCATCATTCCACATTATTCTACGTATATGCGCATTCGAAACTTGCCCCTCAAGTGTTTTTACAATGTCGGTTGGACTAACGATCAAGAAGGCACCCCATTACATCACGGAATAAATTTATTTTATCCGCTTATTGATATGTTTCACTTTACTTACTAAGATCTTACTAATAGTAACTCCATCCGTTTATCCGCTGAACTAGGTAAACATAAAAAAGTGACATCTCGAATTCTGAAAATCACTATGGGATCATCTTCACGCACCGTTCAAACGTATCCAAATCCAGTACCGAACAGTTCTGCATCAAGCCAGCCAGGCTGGTGAAAAATCCAGATAGCTGCTTTCGATTCAGATACTCCAACATTCGCCCTTGTACAGAAACGTTTCCTCCTAGCAACAAAGCAATGCCGAGTTCGATACTGGCCTGCGCGACTGGAGTAGCCTCGCCTGTGAATCGAAAATAAAATGTGAACAATAGAGTAGGAAAACCTGTAGTGCAAAAGATTAAATAACAGAGGGTAAAATCCCATTGTTCTTATTCAAAATACGCTAACGTACTTGGAGAACGAGTCATTTATAAAATCATTATTGCAATTATTAATCTACGTAATGGTATCTGGTACAATAAAGTACATTTTGCACGAATCTTCTGTTGATGTTCATTTGGTGCCGGTCTATGTAAACATGAAAGTAACGTCATTCCTGTTAGGACTAATCATACTTGAATTAAACCAGTAGAAAGAAAATCAATGACTGTAATACAGCGACGTTAAATGAGGCATCTGTAAATTATAGAGGTAATTTAATGGTATACATAAGTTGTTTATACTGAATATATATATATATATATATATATATATATATATACAGGTATTGACCAAACTCGTGCAACATCCTAGTTTTCATTACAT